GCGCTTTAGTCTGCTGAGCTATCCGGCTGGCCCTCCATTGTAATTTCCACGCAGGATCTTTATGTTTTCTGTACCCATGGTCACTGTTACCTCAGCACCTAGGCCAGCAAGGCAGAGGCCCACAATGGCAAGACAGAAGCAGGCCTTTCAGAAGGCTGGAGTGGTGTTGTGTGGGCTGTGGCTTCCACTTGACCAGAGGGAAGATATATTTGGTTCCAGTTGATGGAACATTCTCCTTACTGAATCTCTGCTAAGCTCTCGTAGATCTTGGATTAAGGCAGAAGGTTAAACTGGACTTCTTGGTGCCCTTCTGTGCAGCTCCGCACTAGAAGGGCATAATCACGCCTGAAGGCTGAGTCCAGATGCAGCGCTCTGTTCATTAGGAGCCCACCTGCGCGGAGCTTGGGTCCGGCCGTTTGCTGTGCTAGTCACAGGGGACAGTAATCACGGACTTCTCCTGAGTAAGAAATACCAGTCAGCCTCTACTTACCAGCTCGCTCCTGCAGTAACTCTGACTGATCGATCGCACAGGACATTTCCTCTGGTAACAGATGCTGACTTCCTTTTGCTTGGGCGTCCTCATTCACTCCTAGCTTTGTGCTTTTCCCTTCCTAAGCTCTGAATAAATACTTCTCTGTTTCTTCCTTTTCCAGCAAAGCAGTGCACTCCAGGCCTGTTCCCACAGCCCTCCTTAGACTTTGCATCCCTCATGTGCCCACCAGCAGCAGATAAGTCACCCAGTTTCTGTCAGCGCTCCTTTCTGTACTGTACACAGTTAGGCTGGGCAGGTTATTTTGCCAAATCCATGCCAAGTTCATGAGGCTGCAAAGATCTGTGCTTTCGCCAGCACGATTAGATGAGGATCCTCAAGAGAGCAGATGTGTTCAGGCCCATGCCTGCGAGTCTCCATGGGAGACTTGGGCATGTTATGTGCTTTCCATCGAGCGTTACTGGTGGAGTCCTAGCTCACTTCATTTGATGCCCAAGGCCTGTTACTCCGTTTCACATTCTGATCCTCCTTCTCCACTTCTTCAGTGTCTTTTTGCTCTTGACTAAGATAACTGCTGATTGAATCAGCCCCATAGCTTCAGGTTGTCTGGATCCTTTCCCTTTGGGGAATCGGGGAAGCTCCCTCCTGGGTAATGCCTCTGGGTCGTCCCCTGCCACGTCAGCCTTCAGGTTCCTCAGGGCTGCAACTGCCTTCCCACTTGGCTATAAAAGACTGATAGCTCTCTGGAATGGACTCAAGCCTAAGGTTTTACAGGGTGGTTCAGTTTGCTTTTTTACTTCCCATTTAGGGATTAGAGATGAGCAGCAGCTTAAAAGGGGTACAGAGGAGGTGAGTACTGAAGCCACTTCAGCAAACAGTACATTTGCAAGCTGAGGCTTCAGTTCGGTAGCAAACACTTGCCTAGGGGCAGTGAGGTGCTGGGCTTGACCCCAGTGCTGCTAAAATGAAAGCAAGTGCCTCTGTGTATGTATTCTCTTTTCTCTTTAAGGTATGAGTGGGAAGTTTTTTTCATAGCCTGTGATCTTTAAATAAAAATCTATTATTCCAGTTCTTTGTAAAAGTGACTGAAACATTAAAAACTCACTTTCTTTTTAACACTAAGAATTGGGAGGCCAGGTACAGTAGCACACACCTGTAATCTTAGCACTTAGAAGGCTGAAGCAGGAGGATTGCTCTGAGTTCGAGACCAGTCTGGACTACAAAGGCCAGTCAGAACTGCATAGTGAGGGCTGGTGAGATGGCTCAGTGGTCTGAAGCACCTACTTAGAACAAGCTAAGCCAAGCAAAGCACAGGGACCACGGTTCAATCCCCCAGCACCACATGCCAGCCAGCCCCGCTCCCAGGTGGGCTGAGCTGGCTGCACACACACATGCACACACATGCGCACACACACACACACACTAAATGAAAAAAAAAAAAAAAAGAACTGCATAGTGAGACCCTGTCTCAAAAAGACCAAAAAAAAATAGGTGAAAACAGAGTGAGTAGAATGTGGGCCCCACACTGTCTGCAGAGATTCACTGTTCTCCCAGGAGGCAAGAGGTAGAAAGACAAACTGAGACAGGCTGTTTGCAAAGAGCTACATACACACACGCACGCACACACACACACACGCACACACGCACGCATGCACGCACGCACATTGAGACAAGTCTTACTAGGTTTCCTGGGTTGGGGTTGAACTTCAGATCCTCCTGCCTCAGCCTACCAGAGTGCCAGGATTACAGGTGTGTGCCACCACACCCAGCTTGTATCACTATAAAAAAAAGTCCAAAGATGTTAAATAATTTGCATCCAAGCTACATTAATCAGACTGAAGTAGTGCTTTTTTCCCCATATTTTAAAGGCCAGCATTATTAGAGGAGTTTTCTTGTATTTTTTTTTTCAATTTATAAATTGTGATATAATAAAGTATGTAGAATTTATGAGGAAAGGTATTTAGCTATGACATTTTATTGTCTTTTATAACATAATGTCGCTTTTTATTTAAAAAGTCATGTTTTTTCATATATTAAAATTACAAGAATTTAACATCATTAACCTTTATGAATTTTTTTTTATGTGTGTATGTATGTGTTTAGTGGTGCTGGGGATCAAACGCCAGGGCCTTACACCTGGTAGGCAACCACTCTGTCCTTGAGCTACTTCCCTAGCCTAGCCCTATTCCTTTCTTTCTCTTTTTCTTTTCTTTCATTCTTCCTTTTTCTTTCTTCCTTCTTTTCTCTCTCCCTTCCTTTCTTCCTTTTTTCTTCCTTTCTCTCTTTCTCTCTCTCCCTTCCTTCCTTCTTCCCTTTCTTTTTTCTCTCTTTCTCTCTTTTTTTTTTTTTTTGGTACTGGGAATAAAAGTCATGACCTCACGCTAGCCAGGCACAGGCAAGCGCAGCACCACTGAGCTGTAACCCTGGCCCTTTCATTATTTTAAAGGCTGATGAGTGAAATGAGAGGAAGGGTCAAGGGTTTAAAAGAAAAAGTTTAACTAGTTGGTATAGTTATAGTGCTTGGGTGTTAATATGGAAATAGTTGGTATGTGTCTATATGTTCTGTATGTGTGTCTCAGTGTGCATACAGAGGCAGGGATTGACCCCAGCCCTCACACTAAGCTGCACGGCCATGTGCTTCCCATGGAGCGTCACTGGTGGAGTCCTAGCTCGCTTCATTTGATGCCCAAGGCCTGTTACTCCGTTTCACATTCTGATCCTCCTCCACTTCTGCAGTGTCTTTTTGCTCTTGACTAAGATAACTGCTGATTGAATCAGCCCATAAAGTCTTTTATCGCTTTTTGAGGTAAGACCTTGCTTAGGTGCTCAGGCTGGGCGCTGACTTGCTGAGTCTCTTGCCTCAGCCTCCCACACTGCTGGGATTGCAAATATGTGCCACCACTTACCAACTATAGGAAACACTCTGATGGTTACTGAGCCTTAGATTTTCAGGGTCAAATGATCTGAACCATTTGATGTAATACTAGTAGGTATTTTGCTATTTATCCTATAATTATAGAGAAAGCATGCTAAGTAATAATCTGTGTTGTTGGCAGTGAACAGGTTATAAGATTTTTTAAGGTAAATGTCAAGATAGACAGGAGGAAGAAGTTGCTGCTGACAGTCCCTGAGAAGTCAGATTATCTGTACCCTAAGGAACAATGTTTGAGTTAGAGCCTTTCAACACCACATCCTCATCCCAGGTCCCACCCCCCACCCCCTACCCCTCGCCTCTGTTTAGGGTAAGGGCACCCAGCGGAAGATCCCCAGTCACCCATCTTTACATGCCCTCATGAGATTATGTCTTATGCTAGACTTAGAGATGATAGAGATTTTAAAATAAAGTTTAACACTGGGGATGTAGTAAACCCTGGATTCAGTCTTCAGCACCAAAAACTAAAGTAAAATAAAAATTCATTGTAGTTATAAAGCCAGAGAACAACTTTTAAAATGCCAAACGATTCGGTGCTAAATAGAAATAGGCACAAAGTACTATTGATGTACAGAGCAAGAGCATTAGGTTCAGAGGAAAACACTATAGATTTAATTAGTCAGATAGGCTTAATTTTTAAAAAGCCTTTATCAGGGCCAAGCTGATAGCTCAGCAGACTAAGCACCTGCTTTGGCAAGCGCAGGGACCAAGGTTTGATCCCTGGTCCCGGATGCCATGCCGGCTCCTCTCCTGGGGTGTGCTGAGCCAGCGACTGAGTCTGGGCATGGTGGCACATACCTGTAATCCCAGCGCTGGGGAGACTAAGAAAACCGGAGGATCTCTAGGTCCGAGCTGCATAGTGAGACCCTATAACAAATACATAAATGAAATAAAAATTCATTATCATTTTTTGGCTTTATTAACTGATGTTTTTCACAACTTTTATTGTATTTTTATATTTTGTAAAGTGAGATTAGAAGACCTCACCAAAGCTGTTTATAAATTACATACAACCCAAGTGTGGTTGTGCTGTAATCCCAGCACTTGTGACTGAGGCAGGAGGATTGCTGAGAGAGGCCAGCCGGGGCTACAAAGTGAGTTCAAGACCTGCTTGAACTGCCAAGACCCTGTCTCAAAAAACAAAAAGTCCCACCATATATAAGCAGTAATTGATGTGCCAGGTCTTCTTTTTCTTGTTGCACTGCATGTGCTAATGATAAGCTGTGTTCACAGCCATGTGGATTTGAGCAAACAAGATGTCTAATTTGAGCTGGGCACAGTAGTGTACCCATGTAATCCCTGCACCTCAGGACAGTGAGGCAAAAGGGTCACAAGTTCTAGGACGGCCGAGCAACTGAGCCAGACTCTGTCAAAAACTTAAAAATGGCTGCAAAGGCCATTGCTCCCAGCATCCCATCTCTGCAGTCACAAATGCTCCCCCGAAGCAGTTCAGTATTTGATCTCTTTATTGTGTTGTACAGATCTGGCTCGTAGGAATAATTCATATATTCTAAACATAAATGCAAATACTCCCTATTTTTGAACAACCTAACACTCCTTTTGTTATTGCATATTAAGGGGCAGCTGTACTTGTTGGTAACGGACCAGGGATTTCTGACTGAAGAAAAAGTTGTTTGGGAAAGCCTGCATAATGTGGATGGTGATGGGAACTTCTGTGACTCGGACTTTCATCTGAGGCCTCCTTCAGATCCTGAAACTGTATACAAAGGACAGCAGGATCAGATAGATCAGGTAAATTAGTTTAAAATATACATTCTTTAAAATTTAATCCCACTTATCCAAGGGTCACTGCTGAGCATCCTCAGGAGGTTTTTCTGGCATGAGCTCTGCAGCCAAATGGCTCCTGTGTGCACAGCTGCGCCTGGACCGAGAAGGCTAGGTCCCGTTGCACTGGAGGGTCCTGGTAGGAAGCACGGTTTTATTCTAATAGCAGTAGGAAACCCATGGCACGTTGAAAGCGGGAGCTGGATGATCCGCTTTCCCTTTCCAGAGGACTGCTCTGTGCACGATGGATGAGGGCTGAGGGATCCTGACAGGGAGGGATGGTGGGGTCATGTGGCTGCTAGAGGCGAGGCGAGCACGTGTCAGATCTGTTTGACTGTCAGGGAGAAACACAGAAGACAGGATCCAGAAGATGAACACACCGGGGAAAGGAGGCATGTGTTCTTACAAATAGCAGATACTCAGAGCAGGGCTGAGTAGAGATACAACTTTGATTTAGAACCGAGAGAGATTTTTGCCTTCGTTGTGGATGGGCTTGGAGCTACAGTGTGTTTATTACTTGGAGTATGATAATGATATGAATTCTCTGAATAAGGCATAAATATGTTTAAGTTAAACAATTGAGATGCATTTTGCCAATAACAATTGAGCTGCATCTAGACAGTTCCTTTAGCCCATTTTGATCTGTAACAAGGTGATAGGGCTACAAAGAATTGTTTGAAACTGTCCTCTGAAATTGAAAGCCAACTCTTAACTGTGAAACCTGTAAGATGTAAATGACAAATGCATCCTTCAAGATACAGGGGTACAGGGTGAACATTCTCATTCAAGGAATGAAGAGGGAGACAAATTTGGCCAAAGCAAGAGCAAAGCCCAGCAGGGCAGACACTTGTAGCTCCACGCCCTGCACTCAGCACACAGTGGCGTGGTATGAGCTCAAAAGGCTGGCCAAGCTCCAGCCCTAGGCCTTACTGGTCTCAGCCCTTGTGGCCTCTCAGGCCAACTTAGCTTGCTGCCTGCAGCCTTCTCAGAAGCTCCACATTCCTGGCATCTCCAGCTTTCCAGGGTCTCCACTGCAGCATTGCCTCCACTCTCATAGGTTTATGGTCGCCTTTTGGGCTTCCTGGAAGGGACTCCTAACCCTGTGACACATGGCATGGCCTCCCAGGCTTTGAGATCTGGGTAGAAGCCCTTTGTGGCCTCATGACTCAACATTTTCCTGCAAAGCCAGCACCAGATAGACAGTGCCAAGATCTGCTGCCAGTGCAAACAGCATTGTGGGCCCCTTGGAACACGGCAGCCCTGGGCAAGCAGGGGACCCTGGGGTTCTTTCTCAAAGCAGGGTCCTTCAGAGGGCCCTTGCGCTGTGATTAGTGGGGTCTTGCTGATACCTGCGTACCCTCAAGGCATCGTCCTTATTGTCCTGACCCAAAGAACTTACTTTGGTTTAGTTTTTTGGTTTTTTTTTTTTTGGGGGGGGGTTGGTTTTTTTATTTTTTCTTGTTTTTATGTTTTTGAGACAGGGTCTTTTCTGTGTAGTTCAGGCTAGTCTCAAAACTCGCAGTAGTCCTCCTGCTCCAGCTTCCCTGAGTGCTGGGATCTGGGATGACAGGCGTGTGTCCCCATGCTCAGCTCGAAGTACTAACCTTTAATGGTGCAGTGCTCTCCAGCAGCCACACCTTCTTTGCCCCCCATGTTAAACCAGCTTCAATTTCTGGCCAAACTAAACATGTTTTAGATCTTTCTACTCAGCTCTTTGCTTCTGATTCTCACTATAAATACATTTTACTAAAAGCATCAGGAGCAGAGCTTTTCTGAAAATCCCTCCTCCAGGTTTATTGATGTACTGAGATTAAACTCAAACTCCAGTAGAGAGAGCCTCAGGAATGGCACAATGTAAACAAGTTCCTTACGAGAATGTAAGGTAGAACAGGCGATGGTCCCCCTCTCAGCAGGCCTTCACTGTCTGCATTCCTGTCTTGAGCTTGCACCAGAATTGTGTCCCAAGTTCTACTTTCCACATCCTACGGTTTCTCCAGCCTGCAGTTTCAAACATTCCCAGGCTCCTCCTACAAACTATTTTCAAAGGCTCAGAAGCACGCTGTCAGGTACAGATAGCCACATGGTGGCCACTTCTGGTCCAGTTTTCTACAGGAGCTTTTCCTCCAGCTTACAGGAGGAGAGTGAAAAATATTGATTGAGGATCTTGGATAAATCATGATTTTTAAAACTACAAAGGAGTCTTACATCATTGAATGGGATATTATAGTAGTTTCACAATGTGCTTTGAGTTTGTGTAAGAATGTACAAAAATCGTGGATATCTAGTTAAAAGCAGTTGTCTGTATTGTGGCAATTTCAACTTCCTTATCTATGGTTTTCTCATTTGTCTTACTGAGGAACTCAGGGTCAGACCCGAGGGACGACACAGCGCCAAGCAGCGAGGTAGGCTCACAGCTTCATGGCGCTAGCAGGCTGGGTGATACGGGTCCAGATCACCAGCCCCGTCTTGGAGTAAAACAGTTAGTTAGTTGTACAGGTGTTTAGGAGGAAGTGCAAAAGGCTGATCACAGGATATTCCACAGCTGGTTACGCATGTCTTGTCATGCATGGCTAGGGAGAAATTATCCTATGTGAGCTCCTCGGGGTTGCGATCGTATAACGAGGAACAAGTCATTGCCTAGACTGAGCCAAGTGGTCCTTGAGATGCAGAGTATTTGGAAAACTTGATAGCAAGCAAAACATAACAGAATAGACCTCGGCTGAGCCAGACCTACCTTGCAGCTGCCATGGGAATGTTAAGGCTTGTTAATTTTTGTTTGTTTGGCGGAACCAGGGATTAAACTCAGGCCCTTGTGCTTGCCAGGGAAGTGCTTATTCCACTGAGCCATCTTCCCGGCCCCACTTGTTAACTTTCTAACTGTGGGGACAGGGCGTACTTCCCAGCTCCATCCTTGTATAGTGTCAGAAATATAAATTTAGGGGCTGGGGAAGAGCTGGGCAGTCTAAGCCCTGCCTGCCAAGTGCAAAGTCCCAAGGTCTATTCCTCATGCCACATGCCAGGCTAGCCTCGGACCCCCAGGCATGCCATGCTGACCCCCCGAAACCACGTGTGGTGGTACATGCCTGTAATCCCAGCACTGGGGAGGCTGAGACAGGAGGATCACGAGTCTGAACTGCATGTCAACAACAACAAAAAACAGCAAAAAAGAAAAAATATTTTTTTAAGAAATTAAGTTTGAAGATTTCCTTTGCATTTAAAAGTGTGCCTACACACCCCTTTTTTATTATAGGGCTATTCTTTCCCAGTTTTAAGAAGGTAATAGGAGGAAGTAGCATTTAAAAGAAGTTGCTAATGTATGTCCTCAGATTGTTTAGACAAAAGCAGTCAGAAATGGAATTACAAATTGGCCTAGGAGAACTGACAAGGACCGCTACTGGCCAAACGAGGAGGAGAACTGAGATCCCACCAAGAAGACTCCTACCCCACTGGGGGTCTCTGCATGAGGTTCTTCTGGAGCCAAGTTTCTTTTACTATTCTGACTCATTGACCTAGTAATGGCTTTCCCACTGCCCCCAGGAAAAGATAGGTGTCTGTGTGAGGCTGTTTGGAGATTCCAAGCCCTCCTTTTTTTTTTTTTTTTTGTACCGGGGACTAAACTTGGGACCTTGTGCTTGCCAGACTGCCATTGAGCTATATCCCTGGCTGAAAGACTTTTTCTTTTAGCTCTCCTATTTTGGAGGACAACTGCAGTCAGAGAATCTGTTTGGTCTTGTGTGTCTGTAAACCTTTGTATGTTGGCAAAATCTCCTGTTATATGAGCACATAATTGTGAGTGTTGTTGGCCTGTAGCCATCACTGTGACACTAAGGGTCAAGCTTCCTGTTATTGCTGTCCCTGCTAGCATGGGCAGTATCACAGGTTCATGCTTTTGACAAACTGATGGGTATGCGCAGGGCCTCACTGGCCAGAGTAAACAGAGAAGTCAGGCACCAGAAAAGCAAGTGTACAGAGAGGCACAGTGGCACTAGCAGACACTTGGTGAACCCTGTCAAAACAAAGAAACTTCCATGGCAAGCTGCTAGAGAACCTGAAGAAACAGGTGAAACATCTGTACAGTCAACAGAGACATTTTGGCTCTCGGAGGAACCCAGGAAGCAAGATGTTTCCTGTAGCATTGTGGGACAAGGCTGGAGGGGGTGATCCGGGCACTGGAAGAATGGAGTTCAGGATCCTTCCAGGTCAGACCCAGAGCTTAATAAGAAAGGACTGAAAGAGTACAGACTCAACAGTCATGGCTGGGGCTCAGTGGAATAAGCACTTCCCTGGCAAGCACAAGGGCCTGAGTTCAATCCCCGGTTCCACCAAAAACAAACAAAAAAAAAGCAGTCATGGCTTACAGCGTGCAGTACCCAGTGGGTGCCACAGAGCAGGCACAGGTCAGGAATCACAGCCTGTGTGATTTGTGGCTAGTATAGAGGCCACTGGAAGCAGCATTGACTTGGTGGAAGGATTCTAGTGCGGGGCGGGAGTGACAAGTACACCCAGGCCTTCATGATCTGTAAAATAGGCTGTGGTTTTATCCCCGCCCACTGACCTGGGTTCTTACTCAGTGATCTGATGACCAGCCTCAATAGGAAGGATCTGGCCTAGGGTCCAGAAAGGGGTTACAAGTCCCCTTGGCAGACTGAACTAGAGGGGAACTGAGTTAGAAGGCTGTTGCTAGTTCCATCCCGTCTATGACACTGTCCCACTTGGACAGAATATAGATGGAAGAGGGGTCTGCAGTACTTTTCGGCTTGTTGCCATCCTGGACAGATATACTTACTGTTAAGAATTTAACCCTGCACATCCTGAGGAATAGCAGTGGTTTTCCCACTTTGAGGTTTCAGTCTGAATTGGCATGCCTCAAACTAAAGGTAGCCTTTAGGGAGGAGTCTCCTCTGGTCTCATTAAGAGTTATGATGGGACTCAAACCATAAACCTGAATCTAGAATTCCCAATGCCCACAATTACCACGTACTCCTAGGATGTTTAGGCATATTATCCACAGGAAAATCATTTTAAACCATCAGCGGTGCTCAGTCCAATAACTACAGTAAGACAGAAAAGAATAAAAGTAACATTTTCCAGAACTCTCTAGTCCTCTGGGGACACATAATTATCAAGACTAACGGGAGACAGGGCTGGAGAGATGGCTCAGTGGTCTAAAGCACCTATTTGGAACAAGCTTGGAAAAGCCCAGGGACCGCGGTTCAATCCCCCAGCACCACATGCCAGCCAGCC